TATAATACACAAAACAACTGTGTTGCAAACCCATGCAATAGCAGCTCCCTTCAACATAACAACAAGAGAAATGCGGAATGAACTGGGTTTGGCATACAACATTGTGAGCGAAGGAAACTCAAATCTGAAAAAGGGATTCCCCTTAGAATGCGAAAGCATTTCCAGGTACCAGGAACGTTGCATTGTTTCCAATCAAACCCCTCACCCCACCCTCCCCCCGCCCCCCTCTCGCCCGTCGTCCCCCGTCATCATAAGTACTGCACGTTGCACGCATGGAACGTGCAACCCTGTCACACGCACCCGCCATAACGGCAATATCCGCAAGCACCAACTATACTACCTGAGCGAACAATAACGCTAACCTGCCAGTACTCCCTGTCCATGGACAAGGAAAAAAAGAAAAAAAAAACAAATAAAAAATACAAAAAAGAAACTAAAAACCAAGCGACAACGCACATAAGCCAGTCGTCGGCGCTCAACACTGGAGAACTAACCGCACCGACCACGCGAGACACGCCGGCCACATCTCGCTCGAACGACGCTACCACGGCCGGACTGCCATCGTCGACCGCCTCTTGCTGTGGGACGTCCACCTCCACTTCCTCCCGCCACCGGATCTCCTCGGTGCTCCCCCGCTTCCCACAGCTTCGTCCCTCAGACTCGTTCCATTCATGGCGGGGTCTCCAACTGCGAACACGGCCAACCTCACTGCGCAATCATCCGCTCCGCCAACGCGTCCCTCAATATCAGCGCATCCCCCGTCGTAGACTCCATGCACACTGGCCTCAATGGCTGATGCATCCCCAGATCCACTGTACGACGCACGCCGTCTGGACCCACTTCCCACAACATATTGTCGTCAAACGGGACGCCAGCGTCGATGAGTATGTTGTGGAGGATGCAGACGGCGACGAATTGTTGCAGCAAGCTGTCCATGTTGCACTTCTGGGTGCGGAGGAACAGCCTCCACATCCCCTTCAGTCTGCCAAACGCCCTCTCCACTGCTCCCTTGGCCGTCTTCTGTTTGTTGTCGAAGCGTGCCTCCGTCGGGTGTTGCGCGAGACCGCCGTAAGGGACGACTATCCATTCCGACTGCGGATAACCATTGTCGTCGAGCAAGTAGCCATTAGTCCGCACACCGAAAGGCAGCATCACATGCGGGCCAGTGAAAAGTTATCTTGACTCCGCGCGCACCCACAAACTCGACAGGTTCAGCATCCTCATGTCATGCACACTCCCCGGATAACCGACGAAGACGTCCAACACACGCAAGTTCATGTCGACCACCACTTGCGCCTGCACGGAGAATCGACGTCTCCTGTCGCAGTAGTCCTCACCGTTGGCGTTCGTGGGTTTGTTGATGTAGATATGTGTGCAGTCGATGCACCCATGGCAGTTTGGAAACCCCTTGTTTGGGAAGGCGCACAACACGACCGCCTTCTGCAAACCTGTGGGCCATGATATCTTGTCGGGGTAAGCAGTCAGCAACGCCGCCGTGACGTCACGCACCGCCGTGATGCCGGAAGCCCTCCTGATGTCGAAGCTACACGTCCCGCTGTCGTACGTCTCCCCCGTCACCCACCTGTACAGTGCATACGCAATGATGTGGTCTGGCTGCAAAGGCACCCTGTAGAACGTCACACGACGTTCAAGGAGTGGGGAAAGAGTCTCCGCGATCTCGCGGAAAACACGAGGCGACATTAAAAGCTTCTCCTTGAAGTAATCATCCGTGGCGTCATCACATTGCCGCAGATCCTCCCACGTGCCGCCGGTTCGCCGCTTCACCCACCACCGTGGAGTCGCCCGTGGAAACCCCCCACACCCCATCGCGTAGCAGACCTCCAGCACCGCGTCGGAAATGGCAGCCACATCCAAGCACTGCCCAGTCGTCGGAAGCGCCATGAGCTTGTGCCGTGCACAAACAGCCGCTTTGAAGTTTGCGTCATTGCTCGCCATCTGGCAGCGGAAGAGGACGACATCAACCACCGCAGCAATAGCCGTCCTCTCCGCCGTCGTTAAACCACAGCGCCCTGCCCCGCCGTCAACGTCCATCCCAAACGCCGCTTCCGATGACATCACGAGATTCACACTGGACTCCACAAACACCGCCACGCGCAAGATCACAGCGTCGGTGGCTGTGCAATATCTTGGGAACCACGCACTGACGATGGTCGTCTGCCTTTCCCAGCGCTCACGTTTCGATGTCGTCTCCCTTGCCGCCGACGCGTAAACGACCGTGCTCATCGACGACAACCGCAGGGGATAATCGTCACTTACGCGAACGACACGAACGACAGCCGCAGACGCAACCACGCCTGAAACGTACGTCCTCCACGCGCCGCCGATTGCAAAGCCTGATTTCAAATTTCAAATTTTGAACAGGAGCGCTGCGCGCCATTTCCCAGGGCCCTGGTTTTGTTTTTTTTTCGTTTCCCGCCCTCCTTCCAATTCGCGACGGCCAACAAAGGTGGACCACCGCCGTCCGCACGGACACAACTCGGTGGACCACCGTCAGCCCCACCCCCGCGTCCGCTTATGCATATATAAATCGGGGTCGCGGGAGCCCCGAGGAATCGTCCTCGGGGGTCGACTCCGAGGATGAGTGGAATGAAGGTGACAATTTCCTCGGGCGACTCCGAGGAATCGTCCTCGGGGCCCGAGGACGCCCCGAGGAGTGTCGAACGAGCCCCTAAGACGCAGACATCTGCACAGGCCACCACCACCACCAACAACAACTACACCAACAACAATAATACTGTGCACGACAGTGGCATGGAAGGAGTGATCCTGAGCTCGTGCGCGTCCGGGAGTGACAACAACCACAACAACAACAACAACAACAACAACAACAACATTGACGGTGTGGTACGTGCGACTGGGCATTCTCTTCCACCCCCCCTTCCTCCCCTCTTGTTTTCTTTCTTTCGGTTTTCCGGTGTTGATTGGGGGGAAGGGCGAGTGGGTCTGTCGAATGGATTGTTCTGTAAAGTGGAAGGGTGTGCGGGGGAGCAAGGAGTGGGATGCTGGTGCAAAGGGGTAGGATAACGAAAGCCAGATTGCCAGGTCGGATAGGGTTGTCCGTGATTGGTTGGCTTTACCGCATCTGCCTTTGGCCACGTGGCAACAGGGCCGGTAGGGTTTGCTCATGTGGTTGTTCAGTGATTTGTCACGTGGAATTGACGATTCTAACTTTTGCTACGTGTCTATACACATAGGTATTGGCCACGTGGCAGGGCAGGAGGTGCTGTGAGGATCGGCACCGGGGCTGCGTATGCGATTGATTTATGCTCTGCCACGTTTTTTTTTTTTTTTTTTTTTTTTTAAACGCCTGAGGGCCTGTTAGGGGTGCTGATATGAGCAGTCACCCCTACCATTCCCAAGAGGCTCCATCTATTGGTGGGTAGCTGCACCTGCTGGAAACCGGGTCCAGCGTCCCTGAGTATCAGTACATATCTGTTGTCAAGGACTGTCTGCCAGCATTGATTACCCTGAACCCAGGGGATTGACTGAACAAGCCACAAGTGAGGTTGAGGGGAAAATTTTAACCGGGAGGACTCTTCACCCTGCTGCTGGGTGCCTGACTAGATTGGCTATCTATCCTCATCTCTCCCCTCCATAGCAGCACTAATGATGCCTGACCCTTCCCCCTTTTGTACCACCTGTCATCACTCCATTCCATACCACTGCATTCCAACTAAGCAGTTTGAAGGGGGGGGGGAAGAAATCGGGACAGTTTTCCGGTGGTTTCAGTGGGATAGCTGTGTCAATGTTAGTCCAGTTGTGGAACGTTAGTTTGTAATCCCTTACTATTTCCGTCCTCTCATGACCCTCCTCAATTTCCGGTTTGGCCCCATTCCATTCCACCTTCCCTATCTTCCCACCGGTAATCTCTCCCAGCCAGCTTGAAGAGAATGTTTGGATTCTTTGCTCAATATCTTTGTTTGTGTTCAAGGAGCGTATTTGTGTTCTGACATGTTCCTATTTTGCCGTTATTTCGATTTGAATCTGTTGCTGTACACTCTCTGTAAATTCAGGCTCTTCTAATCTTGCTCCTTCCATCTCATATATGCAGCGTCTTCTCCATAATGCCCAGAGCACCGCCCTGCGTCCCAGTCTAAACAGATTGGTGGTAAATTCGTCAGGGGGGTCGACCTGCATCGCAGTCTCGGCTTCACATAGCAGGGCCCTCCAATCCCAGAGCCACATCATTTTTGTCTCTAGTTGGTCCCAGATTCTGTCCCACCATCTCCACAGCCAGAGGGCGCCCGGACATTGTAGAAATATGTGCTCAATTGTCTCTGGGCGTTTTCTGGATGGGAATGCGTTTGTGCACAACTTGCACCAGGGTAGGGCTAACCCTTTCTATTCTAGACATGTTCTGTCTACGAGTCAGTTATTGGTTGGTAAACAGCGGTGTTCAATCTGCCATTGAAGTGAAGCAAACTTGGCGGGTTTCATTTTAAGCGTGCTAAACTATTTGATTGGCCTTAGATCCTCTTTGTTGATGTTCAAATGGTTTCTCCATCGTTCCTCCACTTGATATCGGAGATTAATCTTTGGCCTGAGGAGTCTGTAGGTAGATTTGACTGACAGACTGTACAAGGTCTTGGTGTGGCTCCTGCCCTTCCCTGTTTGGGATGTCCATTTCCATTCCTCCGGGTCCAGAGGCAAAAGGTGGATTGGTGTCGATGGGAGGAAAGCTACCCATTGCTCCCCCTCCCTTAAAACTCTGATTCTGAAAATTTCATCTCTCTGGCACATCCCCGTCTCCTCTGGGTCACTCCTTTCTATGACATTACCTCTTCCTATTTGAAAGAGGCTTACAACCATTGTTCCATCGCGGTGACAACATACCACGTTCCCCACCTTTCCTTGTAGGTCCCGGAATGCTACCCAGTTTGATTGCTGCAGCAACGGGCCTTTGCGCAGGAGCCGCCACCATTCCAGTGGGATTTTATCTACGATCTCGTCTAGGGCTTCTTGGGGCCGGTGACAGTATTGTAAACGCTCTCTTAGTTGATCTGGGATGATCCAACCGTTTTTAGCCGTGTCCCATATGTCGTTTATCGTTGTCATTCCTCTTGTGACCCAACCTCTCCAGGGAGAGACCATGCAGTGAAGGGTCTGGCCTCTTGAATCCACCACCCATCTGTTGCCAAATAAGGGTTGTCGAGCCACTTCTTCCCATCTGTCCGGTGGCCGTTTGTCCGGGAGGGGAAGACTTCTCCATATTCTGCGGAGGTTGGGCCAGAAGAGGTCCTTTCGTAAATCAGACCTTGCTGCTTGTCTTGGAGATTCCGGGCCGCAGTCTGGTGGCTGTATTTTTGTTCGTGGAATTGGCCATTCTCTGTTCTCTAGCCACATCAGAGGGTCCTTGACGTCCAATGTCTGTGGGGCCAGACGGGCTATTTGTTCTAGGGCCAGCCCTCTCCATGGAATCTCAGGGTCGAAAAACAGGCGTTTGAGCCATTGTATTGCTAGCGCCTTTGTCTGTAACAAGGGGTCAATGATACCTAGGCCGGCTTTGGTTTTGGGCTGGGTAATGGAATGCCACGCCACTCGACTGATCACATTCTGTTTCTCGTGGTCACCTCTCCACAAAAAGGCAGTTATCTGCCGTTTCAAGGGCCGTAAATAATTCTTTTCCAGTGCCCAAATTGCTGATTTATACCACAATGTGGCCAACACTAAGTTGTTGATTATCAAGGAGCGCCCAAACAGGGAAGTGTGTTTGTCCTTCCAGAGCGTCATTTTGGCCAAGGGTGGTCCAGTGATCCATTCATTGTTAGAGGGTGGTCTGCCTTCTGCTGATAGTGAGATCCCCAAGACTCTGATGGGTGCTTCCTTTGGGAGCCAGTTGAGTCTGGGTTGCTCTGGTGGCGTCGCCCCTTGGTGGTGTATCCACCATCCTTGGGTTTTGTTTCCCCAGTTGATTTTCATGTCTGAGTATTGCGAGAAGCGGTCCATCATGTTCTTAACTCCTTCCATTGGTTCTCTCGATGCATCTACCATCAGAGTTAGGTCGTATGCAAAAAGTGAGCATATTGGGACGACCTCCTGGGGGATTGCAGAGATTCGGATTCTTTTAATATCCTTGTGTGTTCTCAGGTTGGCCGCTAGTGCTTCCATGATAATGACGAAGAGGTAAAGGGCTATTGGATCACCCTGTCTGACCGATCTCTGAAGGGTTATGGGCGGGGCGAGGTTGTCATTTACCATAACTCTGGTGGTTGCATTGGCGTGGAGGATCGTTATCCATCGCCTGAAGGGAGGCCCAAAGTTGAACTTTTCCAGGCACATGTCGAGGAAGTGCCAATCCACATGATCGTAGGCCTTTTCAAAGTCGATGAAAATGACGGTTGCGTTGCTCTTTGACTGCCTCGTTAGTTTAATCATCTCATTGACCAAAAGGATGTTATCTTGGATATTTCTGCCTTGGATAAATCCCGTTTGGTCGGGATGGATGATGTCTGCCATCACAGGTGTTAGTCGATTTGCAAGGGTCTAAGCTAGCATTTTGTAGACGACCGTTAGCAAGGTGATTGGCCTATAATTGCGTATGTTTATGCTTGCTTCTTTTTTTAATAGAGTGTCAGCACCCCTTGCCCCACCAATTCCCCTGTTTGACCTGTATTCCATACCGCATTGTAGTAGTCCATCAGGTCCTGTGATATACTGGCCTACATAGCCTCCCAAAATTCCTTTGGTAGGCCATCAATGCCCGGTGTTTTCCCTCTTCCATTTGCAGCAGTGTCGTCCATATTTCCTCCTTGGATATTGGTTTGTCTAAAGTGTCTCTTTGTTGGTCTGAGAGGGTTTTGTCAAGCAGTCTGAGGAAATCTTCGATCTCCTCCCTTCTCTGGTGGCCACATTCCGAAGTGAAAAGTTGTTGGTAGAAGTCTCTTGCGATTTTCGTGCAGGCTGCTGTGGAAGTGATCAAGGGTCCTTGATTTTGGCTTGGGTCTTCCAGGGCTTCAATTACTGTTCTCCCTGTTTTAACCCTGGCCATTGCGAAAAACCGTGCGTCCATTGCCCCTTCCGTATTGTGTGTGGATAGTTTGCCCCTAATCCTGGCTCCCTGCCATCTATGTTTCATATAGTCCAAGAGTTGGGTTTCCAGAGTTTGGATAGTCTTGGCTACTTCAGCCTGTTGGTCCAGACCTTCTGTTTCGTCCTCCTGTTGTTGCAGTGTCTGTAGTTGATGTTGCAGATTCTCTTCTTCCATGTGACGACGCGCTGCAATCAGCTTTGAGTACGCGTTGCACTTGCGGCCTA